GCCTTTTTTTTTTTTTTAACAGTATCTTTAATTGAATTATTTAAATAAATTCAGACGGCAGGAAATTTTTAAACACTCAGTAGAAATCAAGTCACCTCCAAAGAGGCAACGGGGATCGCTGGTGTCATGGGAACCCTCACAGCCACACACACGCACTTGTGTGTCCTCAGCAGCCACGTCCCTGAGACTAAATCTGCCTCAGTTTCTCTACAACTGCCCAGGCTGCGTGCATGAAAATGTCATGTTTGCTTCGTGCTAGGCCATCCTCGAGTCTCCGCTCTTGGGGACAATCACTGCCATCCCTACGAGGGGAGGGCAGCCTGACCACCCCAGTCGCTGGCTGCCCAGCCACAGGTCAGATGAGGGGGCTCCGGGAGACGGAGGGCCCGCTGCCACTGAAGCACTCTCTGAAGTCTGGCTGGCGGGGCAGGAGCTGGGACCCGCGTTCACCAGGGGAGAACCAGGCGGTGAGGGAGTCGCTGGGCCGCCCACCCCATCCCAGCCACGCCCCCATCCCAAGCTGTGGCATCCACTGGGCCGACGGTGCCGGCTCCCCGCTGTTCCCGCTGCCCAGGAGCCAGGCGGCATCCAGCCAGTTCCTGGCCTGGCGCAACCCCCAGTCCCCCAGAGGTGGGGACACTGAGGCTGGAGTCTGCCCAACATTTCTTTGCTGAGGACCCAACGCCTAGCGTGACCAGCTCTGGAGACGGCCTTCTGGAGGTGAGGGAGGAAGCTACAGGGCCGGCTTGGCGGGCCAGGACTGTGCTCCCATGAGAAGATGTCCAGTAGGCTTGGGCGGGGTGGTGCAGGCCTGTAATCCCAGCAATCAGGAGGCTGAGGCAGGAGGATCACCATGAGTTCAAGGCCAGCCTGGGCTACTTACTGAGTGCACATGTAAACCGAGGCTCTGAGATGGGGTTCGCCTGCATTATACAGGTGGCCCAACTGGATCACAGGATGTATGGGTTCATTTTGGGTGGACTTGGTGGGTGTTTTTTTGTTTGCTTTTGTTTTTGCAGCACTGGGAATGAACCTGGAGCCCTCATTCACCTGACTACTCCCACAGCCCTTACTTCCAGTTTCTCAGGCGGGGTCTTTGTTAAATTGTCCTGGAGGAGCTCAAACTGGTAAAGCCTCCTGCCTCAGCCTGATCACTGGGTCTTTATGTTAAAAGAGGCAGCGGGCAGCAGGGTGGAAATGCAGGGATGAGGCGGCGGGGGGAGCTGCGGCCATGCTCCTCTTGCCAATGAAGAGAGACCAAGAAGACAGAGGAGGCAACGCAGTGGACCCCACCGGGCAGCCCCCGGAGGCCGTGAGGCCCGGCCATGCTTTGGGCTCAAACTCGGGACCAGGCAGTGGATCTTCGTCCGTAACAGGAAAGGACCACGGCAGAGGAGACTGTGCCTCCCGGGCCCTGGCAGGGAAGAGCACCACCCGGCTCTGAAGGGCAGAGGGTCCAGGACACAGCTGGGGATGGAAATCCCAAGAAGGCACAGCAGAAGCCGCCCGGGCCGTGCCCAGTTCTCAGCCCTCCCCAGTGGAAGGAGGACAGTGGCTTCCTGGGGCTGCACCATCCCCAAGGGGAGCGCAGTGACCCCTGACCCCACACCCGGGACCCAGACCCTGGGCAGCGCTGCACACACACACAGGGACACGTGGGCCAGAGTCTGTCACTCACCACGCTGACCACTCCTCCCTGAGCCCAGGTCCGGCCAGGTGACCCCCAGCCCCACTCTGTACCGGCATCCAGCCACGGGACAGTAATCCCGCTGTCTCCACTTGCAAAACCTACCCAGCATCCTGCACTGCCAGCTGGTCCAGGGCCCTTCACTGCTCAACCTGGGACTGCAGCCCCCCTGCCCCTTGCACCCCACACTACAGTACCCCATTTGCTCAGGAAAAACCCAAAAGCCCTTGTGGCCCAGGAAGCTGGGGGACCTGGCCCCCTTGTGGCCACGTGGCCTAGTGGCTCTCCTAACCCATCGGCTCCCACCCCAGGGCCTTTGCACTCACTGCTCCTGCTGCCCAGGCAGCCTCACCACAAGGCCACATGACCTGCTTCTCATGCACTCAGATTTCTGCTGGCCTCACCTTCCTGACCCACCCAGCCTCCCACCCTGCTAAGATTTCTCACTGGCACGGAGCCTGCCCACCCGGAATGAGTGAATGAACGAAGAAATGGCGGATCAGGTGAGCAAGGGCACAGAGCCCCAGGGCACAGGCCAGGCCAACACAAGCAGGTGCGGTGTGCGGTGCGGCCACCTCAGAGAAGAGTGGCAGGGCTGGGCCCGGCATCCTCTCCGCCGGGAAAGCTGATCTGCAGCTCACATCCCGCAGCATGAAGGGCGAGCCAGGAGGGGAACAGAGCCACGCACCTGTGTGGGCCCCAGGCCCCCCACCCTGCAAAGCGGAGCCCGAGACTGGCCAACACCTCAGGGGTCCACACCGCCACCAGCACACTCAGCCCCCGGTGCCAGGACGGCTGCCGGCCCCCAGCCCAGCACCAGCTCCTCCCCTGCAGGGACAGAGGTGGCCAGCAGGTCCTCTGGGGACTTAGGAGCCCTGAGGGACGCTGAGCCAGCAGCCCACCCATGCACAGGAAAAGGGGACCCCCATCCCAGCCTGCCAGCACCTTATGGGGCCACATCAAAGCCCCATCCCGCCTCCTCCAGGCAGCCCCGCCCAGCCCGGTCCACAAGCACACAGGGCTGATCAAAAAATACAGTGTTTGTTTGAAATTTTGAGAAATTATTTATAGCAAAAAGCACATTGCAATGAATCCCACCAAAACCATCCTCCTGGCTTTCAATGCACTTTTTTCCACCGTCCTGGCCCCAGACACAAAGCTGAGCCTAGGAGAGGGGCTTCCTTCCATGGTACAACCACCTCAGGAAGAAATGATAGCTTCCTATCCTCTGCTCTAATAAAATTCAAATCCCTTATGCACTGGAATACTATTCAGCCATGAAAAGGAACAGGCTACCATGTGAGTGAAACTTGAGCACACAATGGTGAGAAGAAGCCACACAGCCACACAATGTAAAAGCAACCACATGATAGGTCCCGAGTTCGATCCCAGGGACAAAAAAAAAAAAAAAAAAAACACA